AGGGATCAGTTCAACTGGCCTTCAGCAACACTTCGGTTTCTCACGATCTCCAGTCAACCTGAATGACAAATTAATGTAAGTCCTCCGACTCGTTACGAAGTTGAAAAAGCTATAGGAAATTTGAAGCAAGAGAGAGCAGCAGGCCCTGACAGGTTTACTCCTGAGATTTTTAAGGATGGTGGTCCAGTATTAGCAGTGAGATTGACTGAGGTCTTGAATAGAATTTGGGAACTGGACGTAATTCCATCTGACTGGACTCAATCACTGATTGTGCCAGTCAATAAGAAAGGACAAAAGTCCTCTTATGACAATCACAGAGGAATCAGTTTGACTAAAATAGTGTCTAAAATATTAACTTCAATAATACTTCGACGTCTAACCAAAGCTCGTGAAGAGCAGACTAGAGAAAATCAGGCTGGTTTTCGACCTGGACGTGGTTGTATAGAACAGATATTCACACGACGTCAGGTCCTAGAACATAGACACACATTCGGACGCCCCACAATCGTAGTATTTCTCGACCTTATGGCGGCATTTGACTCTGTTGATCGTGAGGTTCTGTGGCAGTGTTTGTCACTGGAAGGAGTACCAAAGAAGTACGTCAACCTTATAAAGGCTCTCTATTCGAACACAACTGGTCGAGAGAGAGCATATGGCGAACTGTCATCAGAATTGATTACCCTAAGTTGTGTTCGTCAGGACTGTCCACTCTCTCCATTCTTGTTTAACTTTGCCGTTGACGTGCATTTAGAGATAACTTCTGGACCAATATTTTAACATAGTCGTAAGTGGGTCACATACAAATACTTGATAACTGTCTACCAATCAGTTTCAAGTATGAAATAAACGACATTAGTTACTAGTTTGTAATTAACTAGATGGTTGGTGGTAAAACACAACAGATCAAATCATGAGATGGAAAATTTTAGCGTAAGGAAAAATAATCGATTAGAAATGAATAAAATTGTCACTTTTGGAGATAAACAGGAGAATAATATGAAATCACGAATGTACTTCAGATGTTTACAACCCAAAAAATAACAGTAGTATGAACTATCAAAAAACCAGTGTGCATCATCTATGAAGATTGATGAAATGGACAGTATAAAAATTTTGCAAGACGATCATGTAATCAAATATTTCCATGTTAAGCTATGCGAATATCCTGGAAGATAAACTTTTCAAGACTGATGGAAAATGGTCACTATATTGAATTATTATTGTGAGAGTTGCTTAATCCTTTATCGTAGATGTTATAACGTAGCTTTTAACCTAAGATATCCGTTGAACGGTTTGTCTCTGCTTCTTAGGAAGCTTTTTTCTACAATATTTACATAATTCAACCATATGACGATTTATAATTCTTTTATGTTTATTATCCTTTTCTATTAAACTTCAATGATGAGAAGTATAGATGTTGTTTTCTTTTGACTAATTAACACTGCTGTTACTTTTAAGATTATAAACAACTTTAAAAGATCTGTGAATTCACTATATTCTGCTGTAAATGTTTTTCTTGATGCATTTGTATTTATAAAAGGGAAAAATTGTATTCAGCTATTACAATCAAATTCAGTTCTTACCTTAGTTGTCTAGGTTGAAAAACACATAATTCTGTCAAATTCTGTGGGTAGCAGAATGACATCACAGGTGAATCGTGAATGTTTTATGTTATCAAAGCCCTAATGTTTACTCGTGATAGCTTGACAACCAACTTGAATACTGCCATTAGTCATTATTAAGGACGTAATACAGCTTTAAGTTGTAAAGCGCCTAAATAAGGGAATGTTTCTTATTTGAATTTCATCATGAGAAGAACAAGCCTGCAAGAAAAATAATCGAGAAGAGTGGAGTTTGAGTTGAATACGCTTTAATATAGGAGCAAAAGATATTTGAACGGAAAATTTAGCGTAACTTACGACTGTTACTACTCGTAAAGGAGCATAGGTGGCCCATTAGAATTCTCCGTCCAAATCTATCCTGGGCAATCCCTTTCAGCTCTTTCCAGTTGATATTCGTCCTTCCAAAGCTTGCTTCCAATTCCCGATGAAGTATGTTCCTTGGTATTCCTCTTTTCCGCTTCTCTACAGGATTACAAGTAAGCACCTTGCCTCAATGTGCAGTTTGATTATTTCCACAACGCATGTCCTATCCACCCCCAACGTCATTTACCAATTTCCTCTTCAACTGGAAACTGGTTTGTTCTCTCCCACAGTAGTTTATTGTCGATGGCATCCGACCAACATATATTGAGTATGTTGAGTAGACATTTGTTTACAAATACTTGTACATTTTTGATTATGGTTGTGGTAGTTCTGGAAGATTCAGCTCCGTACAGCAGAAGTGTCTTGACGTTTGCATTGAAGATTGTGACTTTGATGTTGGTTGAGAGACGGTTGTTTGGAGTTGAATATGTTGTTCAACTGTAGAGATGCTGTCCTTACTTTGCCAATCCGTGGCTTTACGTGTGCGTCAGATCCTACTTGTACATCGATGATGTTGACCAGGTAGGTGAAAGTTTCCACCTGTTTCAGAATTTATCCATCAAGTGTGATCAGTTTGGTTGGTGTTTTCTGTGTTGTATTTGAGGGTGTTACTTCTTCTCTTGTGTATGTTGAGACCTATTGATGTAGGGACTGCTACTGTTCTCTCTATTTCCACCTGCATTTGTTGGTGTGCATGAAACGGAAGTTCTAGGTCATTTGCGAAGTCCGAATTGTATAGTTGCATGGAAGCTGTCCATAGTATTCCATGCTTTTCCTGAGATTTGCGGGTCATCATAACCCATTCGTCTGCCAGAAGAAAGAATAAAGAGCGAGAATGAGTCGCCTTGTCTGGTACCGGTTCTCACTTGGAATGCGTCTGTCGGCTGTCCTCCATGAACGACTTTGCAGTGTAGTCCGTCGTTCCCTTCCTCCAGTCAGTCTATGCCGTTCCATGTTATCTTTATACCCAGTGTTGTCCATTCTGACTTTGAAGTTTTTGTCTCCCCTTAAAATGGTCAGGTCTCTTCCTGGGCATCATTCTTGTGACTTTTGAAGTATCTCGGCTTTCACCATGAGGCGTTGTAATTCTTCTGAATGAATATCCTTCAACCCGGAGGACAGAGTTTAAATGTTTCAATTTGTTTAATCTGGTTGACGTTTTTTATCAAGGCTTTTTTCTATGGGATGTGGTTGCTGTTTATATACTGAACTGTGACTTTCAGTAACTCTAGAAGAGCTACAGGCTGTGTTGAAATATATATAGTAGCGTACTTTATGGCTACAATTTAGAATTAATAATGTTAATATTTTGTGTGAAACGTAAATACTAATAATTTAGCCACATGCTTAGATTGAATTTGAAATAAATTCACAATCAGGACCATTAGTTTTGCTCTATGATCAATGTCTGATGTTCACGAATTGCGTTAATAATTACTTCCTCAAGATGCCTTCATTTATTATGATGTAGGCGTTGATCAATTATTGGAGTTTATGATAATTGATTAACATAGTGAGTTATATGTGACAAGTGATCTAATTAACTCCGCCTGTTGCTCTTCTAGAGTTACTTCTGGTCCCAAGCTCGGTTAAAGGACCAGGGTTGGGCCAACCGGATCTCAGTGATCTGATTTTAATTACTAATTTAAATAACTTTAGCTTTGAATAATAAACTGGATTATTGTATTTTCTATAATATGTATACAGAATATTAAATTTAATAAGTTTATGTGCAATTCTCTTGAAAGAAACTGACGATCCGATGTGTTTTTGTAACGCAGTCACACATATTTTATCAATATTAAGCATACTTTCTATCAATTGCACTGAAACTTTTGACTTGTATGTTAATTTAATAAAAGTCGTGTTTTCTATCCTGCACATGTGTACTAGTTTCGCGTAATATATGTTATTTTAGATTGAAGTATATTAGAACTCAATCACTCTTCTCTCAATACCAGGAAAAGTCTTCAATAGGGTATTGTTAAACAGGATGAAGGACTCCGTAGACGCACAACTTCGCGACCAACAGACAGGATTCTGTAAGGATAGATCGTGCACAGACCACAGAATATAATGAATTCACAGATCTTTTAAAGTTGTTTATAATCTTAAAAGTAACAGCAGTGTTAATTAGTCAAAAGAAAACAACATCTATACTTCTCATCATTGAAGTTTAATAGAAAAGGATAATAAACATAAAAGAATTATAAATCGTCATATGGTTGAATTATGTAAATATTGTAGAAAAAAGCTTCCTAAGAAGCAGAGACAAACCGTTCAACGGATATCTTAGGTTAAAAGCTACGTTATAACATCTACGATAAAGGATTAAGCAACTCTCACAATAATAATTCAATATAGTGACCATTTTCCATCAGTCTTGAAAAGTTTATCTTCCAGGATATTCGCATAGCTTAACATGGAAATATTTGATTACATGATCGTCTTGCAAAATTTTTATACTGTCCATTTCATCAATCTTCATAGATGATGCACACTGGTTTTTTGATAGTTCATACTACTGTTATTTTTTGGGTTGTAAACATCTGAAGTACATTCGTGATTTCATATTATTCTCCTGTTTATCTCCAAAAGTGACAATTTTATTCATTTCTAATCGATTATTTTTCCTTACGCTAAAATTTTCCATCTCATGATTTGATCTGTTGTGTTTTACCACCAACCATCTAGTTAATTACAAACTAGTAACTAATGTCGTTTATTTCATACTTGAAACTGATTGGTAGACAGTTATCAAGTATTTGTATGTGACCCACTTACGACTATGTTAAAATATCAGTCCAGAAGTCAACAGACTCTGTTACAACAACTGTCATAACAATCACTATACCAGAGTAGAATAGTGATATTCAATAGGTTGACGGGACTGATCCACATGAATAAAGACACATCTTTTTTCATACACCACTTTCGGAACAATTAGTAGCATATGAGTATTTAAAGAGAAAACGTTTTCCAACCATTACTGCTACTGTTGTTGTCTTTTGACAAATGAAGACATACGTATTTATTCCAATATGTTGGATTTCCGTAAGTTAAATATACATCCAAAGAAATTGTTTTTTATCTTATACCTTTTATTTAAAAGATAATTGCTTTAGTATTTCCAACAGACGAAGCTAAATTTGAAAAGAAACCAGACTGTGACAGTCAAAAACAAGACAAAAATTGTGTAAAGAAAAAGAAGGCAACAGCTTCTGAACGTGAGTTCATACCACTTTGATAATGAAGTGCCAATTAAACTGTCTCACTAGTTTCGAAAGACTCAACTAAATTCGAAGAGGAGAAACCAAAGTGCAACGGTCATAAACAAGACAAAAACTGTGTAAAGAAAAAGAAGGCAACAGCTTCTGAACGTGAGTTCATATCACTTTGATAATGAAGTGCCAATTAAACTGTCTCACTAGTTTCGAAAGACTCAACTAAATTCGAAGAGGAGAAACCAAAGTGCAACGGTCATAAACAAGACAAAAATTGTGTAAAGAAAAAGAAGGCAACAGCTTCTGAACGTGAGTTCATACCACTTTGATAATGAAGTGCCAATTAAACTGTCTCACTAGTTTCGAAAGACTCAACTAAATTCGAAGAGGAGAAACCAAAGTGCAACGGTCATAAACAAGACAAAAATTGTGTAAAGAAAAAGAAGGCAACAGCTTCTGAACGTGAGTTCATATCACTTTGATAATGAAGTGCCAATTAAACTGTCTCATTAGTTTCGAAAGACTCAACTAAATTCGAAGAGGAAAAACCAGAATGCGACATTCAACCAATAATTACATGTGTAAACAAACTCACATCTGCGGCTCCTAAATGTGAGTTTACGGTATATCAATAATGAAATGCTCCTGCAAAAATTTTTTACTAAACCGATATTTCATTACATTCGGGATTTCCGTAAATTTCGATTAAACAACATGAAGCATCAATACTTTGTATATCTTCAAGTCTTCACAAATCAGTTTCAGTTACCCAATAGTTTTGAAATCCTCATATATATTTTAAACACCATCCCATAGAAGCTGATTGAAAGTAGTTTATGAGAAGACTCAGTAAGAAGCATTAAAAACGTTGAGGAACACGATAACTTGTATAATTTGGTCAACCAAATTAATAGGTTTAATAATGAGGTATGTAATTTACATTTCGCATACCTATCAAAAACGCTTTACCTTATAAACTGAGTTTCAGTCCTAGTTATGTCATTTGAGGATGATATTTCTGATTTGCGTCATACAGTCAAAAAATTAAGAAACTGTCTTCAGGATTCTCATATTTATTTTTGAACCATTCAAAAACAAAAGCTTATAGTAAATTGAAAGTCATTTTAGAAAAACTACGACATATTTTAAACAAATAAATTATTTAACTAATTGGTATTTCGAGACACATCTACACAAACGTTTATCAGTACCACTTCGTTGAAAGTGTCATATTTGCCTAAATTTATTTACCACAAATACAGAAATCTTACAATACATAATGTAGTGACAGATTAATTAGTTATGTTCAGGAAAACTAATCTTCCTGTTACAAACAGCCATCAAAGAAGAATGATTTCTGGTTAACTATTTTGTCTTCAAATGGTTCGAAAACACTAAATAATGGAGCGCAAACGTCTGGCTAGATATTGAGTTATTTTCCATCGTTAGGTTTGGTAGCAAACTAATCTAACTCGATAAGCTAAGTGGGGATTGCTTCACAGATCTTCAAATACACGTTCTAGTTATCAGCTAGTTCAAATTAAAGGCTCAATGAATCGAATACTAGTTAGAACGGCCTGCCAGGTTTCAATTTGATTCAGTCATTGAGAGTTGTACTAAGATGTCCTGCAATTCGGAAATATGAATCCACCTCCCCCCACTTCAGTGAGAACGTAGAACATCGTACGTACGTACATCAGTTCGAGTTTCCATACCACATTAGCACAGAGATGCAGTTATCGATTCAAATCCCGTAGTGGTAGAGGTAGTAAAAGTATGAGCAGTAATCGAAAACATTAGGGTTTGAAGATGTTATTCAAGGAGTATAATCCAGTGAAATAAATTTGGAAAGAAAAAAAGGACATAAAGAACAGTCTGGTCAGTCATTCTAACTTATTATGGTGAGTAGAAACGACTTCAAATATGAGATTCATAAAACGTCTCATCAAATACTTTATATATTAAACTAAAATTATCGGTTTGATATCTTACAAATAACTCTATATTACTGATACTTCTATTATCCATGTGTTTGCTTTTTAATAATCATGTATCTGCTCCCGACTCTAAAGCATCCAGAAAGAATAATTTAGGTAAAATAACAAAAGAAGACATCAACGAATCCCTAAAACGGAAAAAGTATCAACAACAACTATTCTTGTGCCATGTTACTGAACAACTGAAGAAACGATGGAGGCATTGTTTACGGGGTGACGAGAAAAAATTAAAGGCCAGGAAGAAATATCTGGAAAGTATAAATTACAAACCGGAAATATTCGATATTATAACATATGTGAATCTAGGCTGAATGACGAAATTATGAGTTTTACTGTTTTACAGAAAACCTTGGTAATTCGCTTCATTTTTTAGCCTTATCTGCAGGATTGTACATAATTTCTAATAGTATTTTCTTAAAGTATTCACTAGTTGTACCAGTTTCACAATGTTTTGCGTTTCGAAAAAATAACAACCATCTTATATTAACAATTATTTCGAATTCATTTGGACACTTTCCAACCAATTATTTCTTATGTATGTGCAGTCAGTTGCATTCACTAATGAAAATTTTTAAATAAAGTATTCAAAAAGTAACGCATTAAATATACCGTTGCCATACCATATCCTTTATTACACAACACTCAATGTAATATTCCGTTTCAGTAAACCACATATATTGTAGTTGCCTAATTATGCACGTTTATTCACAAACATTCTATTAGTTACGGCAGAACGAATATTATTTCTAACAATAGAGAAAAACTAAACTGAAACATGCATCAATTTAAAGCTTCTAAGCTCATATAACAGTTTATGGTAGTAATAATAAATGTTGTCTGCGGATATGCCTAATTGGCTTGTGCTTGGTACTGAGATCTCAACTCCGACGATGCGTAGTGAGAAAACAGAGACTGGTGATATAAATTTGACTCCGGAAAAAAAACCAGGTATGAATAAACTACATTCACAGTCGAATTTCTATTAATTGAACTGAATAGTATTTCACATTAATTGGTCAATAACTTACTGAGTTAACACATTTACATCATACAATTAGACATATGTAACCACAAAAATATAACCAGTCGAATAAGTCATATAATTACTCCTCAAAACGATGTTACGTGTCATGAATGATCAGTTTCACATGTTAGTCTCACTTCAATCGATTAAGTCATTTACTGATAACAATACCAATAATTTATAATTGATTAATTAATAATAATATTGTAGTTCGCTGACAGCCTGACAATTACTGGGTACCCCACACTAAATGATTACTGAGTTGTAATTAGCGTTATATTTTCTAGTATAAATATTCGTTTATAGATGATTATTTTGTTTGAATAGACTATAAATCCTCATTGTGTGTGGTGAAATGCCAATATCATACAAAAATTTTTGAAAACTATATTAAGGTTTATCAAAGTTTTTTCTACTAATTTAACCAGATTGAAAACTGAACCATGAGAGACTAGTCTATTTGGTGTTTGACATTTTCTAGGTATTAATTATTCATTAGGAATGTTTCATCAGTAAAACTTTAAGTGCTGAATATCTCTTCAAATGTTTATCCCCACATATACCATAAATTATAGAAAGAGTCAACTAGGTGAACTTGAAAAAGCCCACCGTGACTAAATATTTCGTGACCTAATGGTAAATTTTAAAAAAATTCTCCTCAAATAAGTCATCAAAATATCACGCATTAGTAATTATTGGTTGTACGCGTCATCACATGTTCCGCATCTCCCGAATTAACCATCAAATTAATAGTAAATTGACAATTTTGGACTACAATGCACGATGTCATTCATTTGATTGCCTCACGGAATAAATGGGCCAATCTGATTCGCACAACCTATATCTTCATTAATGTCAATTTACTGATTTACTCAGAATAGAAAATAAGTTAGTCGGACGAATCGACAACTTCACTTATCTTGGGAGTCTGATCAGCCCTAATCGGTTGGTGTCTGACGAAATCTCGGCACAGATTCGAAAAACTCGTTTGGCTTTTTCCAACTTACGTCACCACCTATGCGAAGGCGAGATATCTGTCTATCAATAAAAGGACAAGTACACTGCGCGGCAGTTCTTTCTGTTTTACTTTACGGCTGCAAGACGTGGCCGTTAATAGTTGAGGATACTCGTAAGCTACTAGTATTTGACCACAGATGCCTTAGAAATAATGCTCGCATCTGCTGGGATCACCAGGTAAGCAATAGTGAGGTAAGACGTAGAATATTAGGAAATCATGGTAAATCAGTCGATGAGGTTGTGAATCTTCATCGACTGAGATGGTTGGGTCACGTGTTGTGTATGTCTGAACACCGATTACTACGACGCACAAATCTGATTGGTGTTGGGGATGGTTGGAGGAAAGTTAGGGGCAGCCGAACCAAAACGTAGCATCAGTGCTTGAAGTCACTAACTTCTAGTCTGAGCCATGTTGGTAGATGCAAACTATTTGGTTGGGGTCTGCGCGACTATCGTAACCAATGGTTTAAGACACTGTGTGACATGGCGTCGTTGTATACACTCTTTGCCTTTTCTTAAACCGCGAGATTAAAATTACTTTGTACCTTTCCTTCTACGAATTATTTCTTTCTTCCTGCATTATATCCTTATATGCAATCTTTATGGATATATATTGCTAACACGAAAAAGATAACGCCCGAGTGTTACGGAAAAAGCCACACGAAATCCTGATGAATGTGTACGAAAGAAATCAGATAGTTCAAATCGCACTCACATTTACTCAATATAAAATTAGATAGGCAAAATATAATGGAAAGAAGCATCTTTGTACAAAAACTGTAATAAGAAAAACATTTTGAGATGAATATAGTTTTGTCGACTCATATGTAATTGCTCATAATCGCGAACAGCACCACTGTCACGAAACTAACCACATATATAGCCAGATAAAATTAGGCTTCCAATTCCAATTCGTTTATCTCAGCTTCAATATCAGCCAGATCTGTCTCATCAAACAGTTCTTCGTCGATCACCACATCTACATTAAAAATAAATCGTAAGAGATCGACTTGAAGTAATACGCAACAATCACCATCGAGATAACCGTCAATAAAACAACTATCTCGTCGAATTAAATCTGTTTGGTTAATTAATCGACTTTCCATTCCCAATTGAATTAATAACTGCTACAAACTTATCTCCAAGGCTCTTGCTCCTGATTAAAGAAGACTACATAGCTTAACCGTGTGGCATTCTACACAGTTTAACAATAGAATCGATTAACCCTTACAGATATCCTAGGTAGTTTACACTGTTGACACAATATTGCCAACGACTCCCACACTGAGATAATGTCTACCCTGTGAATCCTGGTTTTCAGTGGTTCACCAGGTAAACTCAATCATTAACGAATACTGCCTCTAAATACAAAGAAACAAAATGTATTGTAGAAACATAAGGAAACAAATAAGCAGTTGGATTTTGAGCGCAGGAATGTAAATATTCTATTTACAACTTTTTCACTAATGACGAATGTGATTGGTTCCGTGGTAATCTTGAGAATTTACAACTATACTACTGAAACATTATTTAACAGTATCAATATATTCTCAATAAAATATAGCGAAGCCGAAAAATATTTTAACATCTCATCTTTTGTTGATACAATACAGTTCACAGAAGGCGATTATGGTCACGACAGACCCACATACCCATAGTGTGGAAGTAGTTATCCAAGATAAGTTTCTCCATTATACAAAAATCACGAATACTTACCATCATAGAAGAACGCTACAGGTCCGAATATAAGTATCAGTTGTCATTTTCTTAGTATACGCTACTGAATCCTGATTTATGGTGCATTATTCAGTTTACTGAGGAATTAAATTCACTCCTAGAAATTGTTTATCCTATACCTATAATCCAAAACTACGTATAAAAATAGATTACAAAACTCTATAATATTACTTCTGAGATAAGACCTAAAGACACATAACTGTTATATACAATATCTATGGAGAGCGAAGGAAATATCTTAACTGATAAATAAATAAATAAATAGACAGGAATAAAAACGTAGATATGACATCTCCTGTTATATCTGATTGAGAATATCTGAGAGGTAACTTCCAGAAAATGTTTATGGACTACATATACGTACTTGACCTTGCCTGTAAGCCTTCTATGGTTACTGTCGCTCGCGAACTCGGAGGGTTGAGTATGGGGTCAGCAACCACATCCCATAGAAAAAAGCCTTGATAAAAAACGTCAACCAGATTAAACAAATTGAAACATTTAAACTCTGTCCTCCGGGTTGAAGGATATTCATTCAGAAGAATTACAACGCCTCATGGTGAAAGCCGAGATACTTCAAAAGTCACAAGAATGATGCCCAGGAAGAGACCTGACCATTTTAAGGGGAGACAAAAACTTCAAAGTCAGAATGGACAACACTGGGTATAAAGATAACATGGAACGGCATAGACTGACTGGAGGAAGGGAACGACGGACTACACTGCAAAGTCGTTCATGGAGGACAGCCGACAGACGCATTCCAAGTGAGAACCGGTACCAGACAAGGCGACTCATTCTCGCTCTTTATTCTTTCTTCTGGCAGACGAATGGGTTATGATGACCCGCAAATCTCAGGAAAAGCATGGAATACTATGGACAGCTTCCATGCAACTATACAATTCGGACTTCGCAAATGACCTAGAACTTCCGTTTCATGCACACCAACAAATGCAGGTGGAAATAGAGAGAACAGTAGCAGTCCCTACATCAATAGGTCTCAACATACACAAGAGAAGAAGTAACACCCTCAAATACAACACAGAAAACACCAACCAAACTGATCACACTTGATGGATAAATTCTGAAACAGGTGGAAACTTTCACCTACCTGGTCAACATCATCGATGTACAAGTAGGATCTGACGCACACGTAAAGCCACGGATTGGCAAAGTAAGGACAGCATCTCTACAGTTGAACAACATATTCAACTCCAAACAACCGTCTCTCAACCAACATCAAAGTCACAATCTTCAATGCAAACGTCAAGACACTTCTGCTGTACGGAGCTGAATCTTCCAGAACTACCACAACCATAATCAAAAATGTACAAGTATTTGTAAACAAATGTCTACTCAACATACTCAATATATGTTGGTCGGATGCCATCGACAATAAACTACTGTGGGAGAGAACAAACCAGTTTCCAGTTGAAGAGGAAATTGGTAAATGACGTTGGGGGTGGATAGGACATGCGTTGTGGAAATAATCAAACTGCACATTGAGGCAAGGTGCTTACTTGTAATCCTGTAGAGAAGCGGAAAAGAGGAATACCAAGGAACATACTTCATCGGGAATTGGAAGCAAACTTTGGAAGGACGAATATCAACTGGAAAGAGCTGATGGGCAACCTATGCTCATCCACTAGGGGTAACAGAGGCAGGCATGTAATAATTACATACATACATACCTTTTTATTGTATAATTAAGTAATTAGATTAGATATTTTTATATTCCTTTCATGAAAAGCCTTCGTTTGACCCATTAAGTACTAATATACGATTTACTATCCTTAACTTGTTTCCAATATATTATTTACAGTCTATCCTACTCACAACCAATTCTGGCTTGATCTTGTTTAATTTTTAACTTTTATTTCATGGTGTGATGCGGTCTAGTCTGCTTGTGTATACACTACATATGTTTAGAGTATAATATTCATACGATGGAGGCTGATCATCGTGTTCTGAACTCAACGGGCAGAGAAAGGCAAGAAATCATTGTATCGAGGAACAACGAGGATTTAGAGTTGACTCAAAGCTACTTGTACTGATTGGCTTAGGGATAAGGTCACAGAAAACGATATTCTGAATGGTAGTTTGTCACGTGAGATTTGACAGGGCCATAAGAAAAGGCAATTATCTCATGACGAAACAACAATGGTATATTCTTACCTAATGCATAAGTGAAACCTTTGTGACAATGTCTGTAAAATATCAGATGTACTTGATTTCAAATCACACATTAAGTGGTAGGACTTGTTACAATGCTCCACGGCTCAAAAGTTAGTAAGCAGAGCAAGATTCAAACCTGTGACCTGGCTGAAAGTTGGACTGCTTTACCACTAGACCACTCCTAGCTGAATGTGAGCATTGTTACGGTTTTTTTTATATAAATAACGTACTTCAGATTAAAAACAGAATGTACATTTATGCGCACTTTATGGTGAAAAACAAAATACCCAAAAAAATGATAATCGACTAACCATCATTATTATATCCATTTTCGTGAATTTCGCTAACTCCCGGTACAGCACAATCCCCTGTTAATTCAGTTCTATTATAGTCTGGAAAATGAAAAGAGTCTTATGCTGTGAATGTTTAGCATTAGGTCCCTGAAAATAAATGTCGAGATTATTTAATCCTTAATATTAATTTTTCATAGTTCATTTTGGAAAATGACACTACCACTCATTTGATACTGAATAGTCTAGTCCCTAGTGTTGGTTGAAAAATGCCAATCAAGTTGAAATATCGTTATCAGGCCAAGTAGTCAAATAATATAATGCTCTTTATTTGATATTAGGTAGATAGTATTTACCACCTACAATTTTGATTACTATACCATGATTAATTGATGTAATATCTCAGCCCTAAAGGTAATCAGTCACAACTGGATGAGCTTATTGATGACGGTTTTGCTTGTGACACAAATCCAAACACGAGTTAACCCGTAATTCTAAATACGCCTTGTTGGTCAGTTCTAAATACCAAGAAACCTAGATCTAGAGATCCGAACCGACCAATTGAATCACCTAATACATCAACGATTTTATTGGAAGATAACTTAGAGTGATTTCAATTTTAAAAATTAATGAAAGTAATTTGAAGTGTTTAAGTTGAAATACTGAAACCTCTTAACAAGCATAGATGGACATTTCAGTAGCTCCGCATTTACTGAGCTAAATGGTTTATTTGTGAACAATAATAATACCAGTCTCTACCACATGAAAAAGAAATTGATGTTGTCCAGAACAGAGGAGGAAAATCCGCAATTAATGCCACTAAACGCATCCACATAAGCTGTAAGCCTCCATCACAAATAAATATGCTTTAGGAAACAATAATATTCCCCAATGTTTTAATAAGCTTAATCTTCTGAAGTGACGGAATCCCCCATTTTCAGGATTTTCTCTAGATGACGCCACACACAAACGTTGCAACTTTTAAAACAGTGGAACATTTGTATGGTGTTAAACTTAAATACGGCAAGTCAGATAAGTCATGAAATCAAACTCGAACTTAAGAACTAAATCAGTTTCAAAAGCGTTCTTAATGCATATAAAGACTAATGAGTATTCGTCAAACAAATCGGGTGAGTAACCAGGGCAGCGCTGACCATGTGAAACAAACTATCTGTTGTCTCGTACAACACTGATTTGTATCAAAGCTATATCATATATTGTAAACTCGAGAGTAGAAAACAAGAAAAGATTCAATAACAGTATATCGCAAGCTATATATATATATATAGGATGAGATATGTGATGCAATATTCAGCACTTTTTTAATTTGAACAAAATTAGGTAAATACCATGAATTTTTTTTATTTTGTTCTGTAGATCTTGTTGTTTCCGCTTCAAAATCATCAAGAGAACCAAACGAACGCAAAAACTTTAATTGGTTGAGGAAAGAGTAAGAGAACAGCTTAAAATAAGTCTACATAAACCACACAAACTTACTGTCCTCACAATCAAGTACTTCGATTGCAAACATATTCAAGTCAATATCCCTGACAGGACCATCATACTAAAAGATAAAAAACACAGGACAGTACATAAACGGTAGGACAAAACAACCGGATTTAAACGACCAGGTAACATCAATGAAAATTTTCATCACTGATGAAAAGTACTAAAGTGACAACTCAAAATTAACTGCAATATGATCAAGGGTGCCATCATGAATAAACTTTAGTGATTTGATTAACAATGTAAGAATCTACAGATTTATTGCATAATCACGTTTGCATATCATGAAGGTATACTAACTCACCACACCTACTAATCTTGTACGTCTTCAGGTCTAAGAATTAAGTAATAGTCAAATGTCAATGTATTCAACCAAATAACAGGACACAGAAACTATATCAGTGTCCACGATGGCGGGATACCAGGAACTTAAATCCATTTTACTAAAACTAGTTTTCTGTGTTTACTGAAGACTTTATTATCTTCTAATCCAACTCATTCACAATGCACGCTTCCTAAACACTTGATTATCTAGCTACCTAAAAGGAAAGGTACGAATAATCCATACGCTTGCAGTAAGTCAGTTCATGTGTGCACTTCTTAGCGGCTATCCGCCCTTATGATAGCATGTGATCTATCTGGACTTACAACAGGACGAGATCTCCCCAAACTTGGCCTATATATCAGACAATTGTTTTTATTTCCAAAATGGAACAAACGACGACTAAAATCATTCAAAATGGATAACATTTGGTTCTAAAGCCTAACGAACAGCGTAGTGAGTAAAATTAATAATAATCAGCCATCATTTCAAAAATCTCGGATGTGATCTGTCTCTTTCAAATTAAATAAGCCTTCGCACTAATGTTTCACTTAAAAATTTGGTATGTAATGAACTGTACTTCTTATGAGACAATTTCCTAGTGATCGTACTGTTTCTCTTAGTTTCCTGCCTCCCTCGGAATTCAAATACAAATATGTGTTGTATTATGTCTCTTACATCAGTTAGTATTACTATAACACCGAAAAAACGTGAAGACAAAAATAAAAGCGATTAACCACAGTAATGCTAAGGATCCTGCTTCGGTTTGGGCACCCGGGCAGTATCACAGCCCTCACACATATCAAATGAGATCTGTGTGGCGCATATGTATTTGGTGCCTTCTTGTACCGATATCTATGTGTTAAAATAAAATAAAATAAAATGCTAAGAATACTAAATCCCTTGATATAATTTATTCGGAGGAAATCAACCTTAAAATTTACATATTGATTTAAAGTGCTTTTCTTTAGTTGACATTCGGTACATTTTTATGGTATTAGTTAATTCGCTGTGATTTTTCGTTCAAGTCAACTAATAATCACTGACTATAATCAGCATATAATTGAATGGGCTCTATTTAACATTAATATTCTGCTTTCTACAAAACAAATCTCCCTTATGAGATTTGCCTTTTGGAGTAGCCGAAGCTGAGAGAGAAGTGTTGCTGTATCCTAGTATCGAAGTGTAGTTAGAACTAGCACAAATATATCAAGTAAATAATCCAACTTAGTAACAAAATCAAGGTTAATGTAACAAACTGTGAGATACATGTACAGTATTAAACCTAATGTTACTTTTGATTATCCCAATCGCAATACACTAGACGAGGTTGATAATCAAAAATCAGCGGTTGGAAGTCTGGCGTTTATACTAATAAGTCACAATTTCGAAAACCAATGACTTAAATTTGGGAAGAAATAAATGAGATTAAATTGTATACTAACTTCATTTTCTCCATCATCACGAATTCTAGAGTCAACAACTCCAGATGTTTCGTCATCATCCAGTGCCTCCATAACTAATGTTGGGTCAAACTCAAAAATCTCCCGACCACTTATCTACAATTGGGATCAACAAATATGAAACAAGCAAAAGATGGGAATAATATAATCCATTTCAACCATTTCTTGTAGAAAATAAATAATAAGTAAAGAATAAAATAACTCTATGAAGATGGCATAAATTAGTATGTAAAAATCGGAAATTTTTAACGCACCTATAAAGCCAATGACACCATAAGAACCTTCCTGTTAAAAGAATATAGTTTGGATTCAAGCACGTTCCGTGTACGATTGTGTTGGTGCGCGCTGATTGGTTATTTATCATCCAATCAGCGCTAGTTGATGCTTTGAGAACACTAGAATCTTCTCACGTAAAAACCGGAAATATACTAATGTTTTTCTTATTGTGTTTCCAACTTCTTTCTACCCTTGTTATCTGGAGTAGAATTTCTTTCCTGTTCAACCGTGTTCTGATTTGCGGACTTGTCGAGTGAAGTAGAATCCAAGATTACTAAGCAATAGGAATAGCTGGGTTGTAATGAGAGGAATTATAACATCACAACCTGTACTGATGCAACCTTATAGTCATGCAAACAAGGAAACTAACTTATGAAGATTTGACAAAACAGTGAATTAGGCCAAGTTTCAACAAACCATGAGGAATCAAAAAGATAGTTAGTCAAATAAAAATGTGATATCAGTTTATTAAGAACAAATAATTATGGAATTGATTAAGGTGTCGTTTACAGAAAACAATAATATAATTTACTTCAATTCATTTCGCCCAACACACTCAAATTAATCATTATCACTCGATAAACTTCATGAGAGCATCCCAAAGTTCCACGGTTTCGGCAGCCGGGAGGTGACATCAGCCCTCATACCCGTAACAACACACGAGACCAAGTTGATCACATTCAAATCCTTCCTACACCTCTTAATAACTCTCTTATCTCCACGACTAACCCTTCTCACGTCACTCTATCACCTCGCCCCGCTAGTGCAAACGATTCGAGTACGTGGAACGCTATTCCTGGTCTCCTGAAACCACGCTCTAAACTACATGTAGGAGCTCTTAACGTCCGAACACTGTGACAAATAGAACAACAGGCCTCCTTAGCGACGACTTTAGAATCTCGCGCCATCAATGTGTACCGCGTCTTCGAAACGCGCACACAGGACCCTAGTAGTGTCATTCATTTGAACTCACCATGTCAAAGTAACGAACCAACTCAATTTACGCTTTGTGTATCTGGAAGCCCTGATGCTGCTTCCCTTGGCAATAGGTAACTGCAGACAATTGTTTAGACTTGTTAAGGAAACCGGTATTAGGAACCCAACTGTTAGCAAAACTATCTCAGAAAAAGATGGACATATTATTCATTCTCAATCCAGGAGATTGGATCGATGGGCAGAACACGTTAGGGATCAGTTCAACTGGCCTTCAGCAACAATTCGGTTTCTCACGATCTCCAGTCGACCTGAATGACAAATTAATGTAAGTCCTCCGACTCGTTACGAAGTTGAAAAAGCTATAGGAAATTTGAAGCAAGAGAGAGCAGCAGGCCCTGACAGGTTTACTCCTGAGATTTTTAAGGATGGTGGTCCAGTATTAGCAGTGAGATTGACTGAGGTCTTGAATAGAATTTGGGAACTGGACGTAATCCCATCTGACTGGTCTCAATCACTGATTGTGCCAGTCAATAAGAAAGGACAAAAGTCCTCTTATGACAATCACAGAGGAATCAGTTTGACTAAAATAGTGTCTAAAATATTAACTTCAATAATACTTCGACGTCTAACCAAAGCTCGTGAAGAGCAGACTAGAGAAAATCAGGCTGGTTTTCGACCTGGACGTGGTTGTATAGACGAGATATTCACACGACGTCAGATCCTAGAACATAGACACACATTCGGACGCTCCACAATTGTAGTATTTCTCGACCTTATGGCGGCATTTGACTCTGTTGATCGTGAGGTTCTGTGGCAGTGTTTGTCACTGGAAGGAGTACCAAAGAAGTACGTCAACCTTATAAAGGCTCTCTATTCGAACACAACTGGTCGAGTGAGAGCATATGGCGAACTGTCATCAGAATTGATTACCCTAAGTTGTGTTCGTCAGGACTGTCCACTCTCTCCATTCTTGTTTAACTTTGTCGTTATTTCCCTCACATAAATTTCCAGGGAATGAACTTCTACCGGGAGATTCACATTTTAACTTAGAACATGCCGATGATATAGTTCTGTTTGGTGAAGACGCTGACGAAATACTGTATTCTGACCACAATAAGCAACAATGCAAGCGTGTTTGGGATGAGATTCTCTCCCCGAAATGCAAAATGTTGCTTCAGAATTGGGTTGCATCGACAGCTGAACTAATGATAGAGAGTGAAGTAGTTGAGCGTATCGACCGCTTCACTTATTTTGGGAGTCTCATCAGCCCTTGTGGTCTGGTGTGACGAAATCTCAGCACAGATACAGAAGGCTCGACTAGCTTTTGCCAACTTGCGTCATTTGTGGCGTAGGCGAGACATCTGTCTATCAACCATAGGACGTGTTTACTGCGCAGCAGTTCGTTCTGCCCTACTTTATGGCAGTGAAACATGGCCGGTAAGAGTAGAGGACATTCGTAGGTTACTAGTATTCGACCATAGATGTCTTCGAAACATTGCTCGTATCTCCTGGGACCACCGAGTAAGTAACTCAGTTGTTAGGAAACGGGTACTAGGTAAGGATGGCAAATCAATTGATGAAGTAGTGAAACTTCATCAGTTGAGAAGGCTGGGACATGTGTTGCGCATGCCCGACCACCGACTGCCCCGACGTGCGATATTTTATGGTGTAGGAGTAGGTTGGGCCCCCAAATGCCCTGGTACGGCCGAGAGTGGGGAGAGTCCGCTCTCCCTCTCGAAATGCTCTCACATGGCCATGCGTATATAGCCCCTGCCAGGGAAGTCCTACTCAATGCCTTCTCGTGGCGGGGGTGTTGTTTACAAAAATGAGAGGACGAAAAGCGAATGTCTGGCGCTTTAACCGGACCCCAAATCAATGGTGCACATGGGCTCCAGTATCCTGCGGGAACAAATGGCGTATGAACCAATCGTTGGTCACCGGCTACCATGGGACTGCATCTCCTCACGATGCTCCACTGCCTTGTGGGTCAGACGTTCAGGTCAAAGGCTCGGGGTGTGGCCCCCTAAGACAACCACCTGCTTCGGTTTGGGCACCCGAGCAGTATCACAGCCCTCACACAAATCAATTGAGCTTTGCGTGGCGCATATGTATTTTGGTGCCTCCCTGTACCTATACTTATGTGTTAAAATAAATAAATAAATAAATAAATAAGGAGTAGGTTGGAGGAAAACTAGGGGCGGCCAGACCAAAACATGGCACAAATCCATGAAGTCACTGACAAGTGGACTGAGCCATGTTGGTAGGTGTAGACTACTTGGTTGGGATCCGTGAGGTGATAGCAACCGATGGTTAGAGATCTTGAATGACATGGCTCAAAATCGTTTGCAATCGCACAGGTGCATCCACTCTTTGTGTCCTCCCAAATTCTAATCTTCTGAGTTCTTCATGTCGTTTATTTTCTTTCCAAATCTATTCCACTGGATTATACTCCTTGAATAACATCTTCAAACCCTAATGTTCCCGATTACTACCTATACTTTCACTACCTCTACCACTATGGGATTTGAATCGATAACAGCATCTCTGCGCTAATGTGGTATGGAAACTCGAACTGATGTACGTACGTACAAAGTTCCACGTTGTTACTGACTGACTGACTGAACTCGTTTTCTTGAGATATATTATCAGGTATGGGTCGGAAAAGATATCAGTAGTGATCCTACGATCGTTCTATTGTAAATTTCTCATAAAAGTATGGAAAACTCTTTAGTGAAATGGATTTCTCCATTGTATTTTTAACTCAACTACAGCTCCTGTAATATAGTACTGTTCGTTTATTTTCAATTCAACTTCCCTCTCCTCGTTTATTTTGTCATATTGTAATCTTATTCATGCGTCACAATCTTTATGCCTAGATGTTTCAGATTTTGTGCATGAAGTAAACAAAGAAAATAATAAAAGCTGAAACAACTTACCCCTGCGGAACGGCCTTGTTTATAACTAGCTTCTCGCATCGCTTTATCGGCAGATCGCTTCTCGATTTTCTCAAGCCTCTTTTATAATACGGTAAGTATTGGATGAAAACGCGTTACCTTTCGTTTCTTCCATTCCATAAATGTATGTAACGTAACTCTGGTTTGATTAAGTCCAAGAGCTTGCCTCTAAAAGATAAAAATCCCATGTAAGATCACGTTAGATTAAATGACAAGACCTCAGTTTTTAGCATAAAAGCAGGTCAGTTTTAAAGACCCGAAAACGTAATTTTGATGTAACGAAACAAAAATTCGCCTAAGACAGTAATAGAACAAATAGAAAAAGTATAAAGTTGGTTTCAATAAACACTAAAAGATCCAAAATACTGAGGATTAACTACTCAGATTGAATTATTTACTTAGGACTAAATATAGTCCATATATATATACCAAATAATATTAGAATAAACTGAATTTAGTTTGTTCTTATAGCACGATGATTGAGAAAATACTCGTGAACTTGATCACATAAACTCTCAATTTTATATTCAACCCTAGTGTAAATAAGGTCCAGTATCTCATTTTGTTTTCAGACTAAATCCATACCTTTTTTCATTCCTTTTATATAAAAGGCTTAGAACGTCCAAACACCCTATATAAAAAAATATCCACTGAAAGGTTGAAGGAATTGTTTTGGAACAGAATCTAAGAGTATTGCTAACAATTTTAGATTAATACCTGTAATTAATTAACAAAACAGAAGTCAAAAACCATTCACATGATACCACAACCTAGAATTATTTTCCAGATTTGTAAGCTTGTACACGACTTTTCCAACAAGCATAGAACTCTAATCTATGATTTTAGATACCTATTTCGAGAATTAGTTTTTCACCAATGTTTTTTAAGTCAGTTTTCATCTAAAAGGAATTTTATTGAGTCTGTTAGCTTGTGAACTTAGACGACGTGATGTTTCACTTGGTAAGTTACTACTAACTGTCACGTGCTAGTCAGTATATAGTTAATTAAAACCTATTATGTGTACTTACCGAATTTATGCTAAGCTTTGTGATGCGTATTAGGAAGTTTAGAAGTCAGTAGTTGGACCTACTACGTGATGTGCACATAAATTGGTACGAGGGGGCACCAGATATATATGCGCCACACAATGTACCAATATCCATTAATGTTCCCTGGTATCGAAATACCCTTTTAAACACTCTATCCCTTCATTTTAATGCCCTTTCTAGTTTGACTTTTTGAATCTTCCAAATGGAAATTCAAATAATTAAGCGTCTTAACACGATGAGCATATCTACTCTAGCGTTTACTACTTTATCCTTTCATCAACGATGGCAGATGAACACGGAAATCTGGATGTTACGAATTTGACTGAAATAGGCCTTCATAAACTCGTGCCAACACATGACCAAATTACGTACCAGTTTACATCGAAAGCTACTTTTATACACTTTTGTCACTACGTAAGAAATGTGTGACAAAACAAGATTACCCACAAATATCAAAATAAATTGGAAATACAAATGAGTGGTTTTATGGTTTATACATACCTCTCGTTCAACTAAATCCTCTATGGATATTATCTCCTTCTGTTCTTCCATTTTCTTCTTATCTCGTTGTAAGATGAAACCTAGGATGATTAGTTGCAAACGCAAGCAAACCAGGAGGCAAGGCGTGTCTGTAGTGACATGTTTTTCCATTCGGGCACTCCCAAAACCAACCATACTTGGAATTTTCCACTGCATCAATGAAGTACTTACATACCTAAAGACTTGATGTAAAAGCTCACAACTTACTATAGTACTGGGTGGTAACCCTTTGTTATCAGCATCGTGCTTTTTGCTAATCACTTCTTCTAATTTATTTATGTCCCAGTCATCCATAGTACTGTCCGTTTTATCAGACTCTGAATAAATCCCACGCTTTTCTGCCTTTCGTTCAACAGTCAAGTCATGGGAAAATTTGCACTTGTCACCTTTGGCACACAAACCCTGTTTGAAGAAGACGCACAGAACTGACTTTGGATCAACTCCTGAAGAATACAGCTAGCATAATATATACCACCCACCTTTCGCACACTTTTGTAATTCTAGCACAGGTTTGAACAAGTCATTAAGTTCAACCTTCTCTTTTTTCTTGTCTTCCTTCAATTGTTTTTCACGCTCCGACTAAATGATCTTTGACTAGGAAATGGTTTCGCACCTCTTTAGCCGACCTGTTACCTTGGGTAACTTGTTTTTGTACTTGTTGAATGAACTTTTGTTGCTTGGCCCCTTTTTTATTTTTCATTCCAAAAGTTTTATCCTTGGAGAAAAATACTATGGACAAAAGTTATGAACTACCTCAACGATTTTTTGCTTCTGTTTTTCCACATTCTTTTTAGAAGGTTCATTTTTCTTTGGGGGCATTTCGTATCAACTACTACAAACTCGCCGCGCCCGTTGAGCTCAGTAATTAGTTCAGATGTTTCAAATGGTTATGGACGGAAGAAAAGTAGCTTCCGTTTAACGGGTTTCCGTATCTGGTAACAGATTTTAGACTCTTTTAAAGTTATTTTTAGATCAAATATCATTTCCTAATCGACCCTCAATCTTTCATATCCTACAGGAAAACACTGCAGTGGCATATTTATAGCAAGACTGTTATCTAAGGGATGGGGTTTCCGACCTCACGACCAACCCCCGCTCTGTGCAAGCCTTGAACAGACAGTGACTTTGCAGAGTTACATGCTGATGGAACTCGTCACTGTACACCAACTCCCTTGACAATAAAAAGGCGTTTGAATGTGTGGATAAGAGAACACTATGGACACTTCTCCGGCACTATGAGGTGAGCACTTAGGAAAATCATCAATATCATACGGAATTCATGAGACGGACTACTCTATAAAGTCGTTTTTGGGGGACAGATAACAAGCGCATTCCAAGTGAGAACCGGTATTAGTCAAGGCTACTCACTCTCGCCTCATATTCTCTCGTCTAGTTGTTGACTGAGTTATGTAGACGTCCATATCTCAGACAAAGCACGAAATACAATGCGCAGATGAATGCGGATAGACAATTTTAACTTCAAAGATGACCTTGCTCTTCCATTCCATCCTCATCAACTAGCTCAAGTGAAGATAGTGGATATATCAGCTGCCTCTGGAGCAGTAGACTTCAACATACACAAAGGAAGAAGTAACAACCTCAAATACAGCACATAAAATACCAACCAAACTGATCACACTTGATGGATAAATTCTGAAACAGGTGGAAACTTTCACCTACCTGATCAGCATCATTATCATCATCGGTGTACGAGTAGGATCTGATGCCTACGTGAAGCCACGGATTGGCAAAGTAAGGACAGCATCTCTACAGTTGAACAACATATTCAACTCCAAACAACCGTCTCTCAACCAACATCAAAGTCACAATCCTCAATGCAAACGTCAAGACACTTCTGCTGTACGGAGCTGAATCTTCCAGAACTACCACAACCATAATCAAAAATGTACAAGTATTTGTAAACAAATGTCTACTCAACATACTCAATATATGTTGGTCGGATGCCATCGACAATAAACTACTGTGGGAGAGAACAAACCAGTTTCCAGTTGAAGAGGAAATTGGTAAATGACGTTGGGGGTGGATAGGACATGCGTTGTGGAAATAATCAAACTGCACATTGAGGCAAGGTGCTTACTTGTAATCCTGTAGAGAAGCGGAAAAGAGGAATACCAAGGAACATACTTCATAGAGAATTGAAAGTATAAATCAAAAGAGTGAACACAGCTTAGAAACAACTTGGAAAAAGAGTGGAGAACAGAGTTAAATGGAGAATGATGGTGGGCGGCCTATGTATCCCTGCGACAGGTAATATGCGTATATAAGTAAGGAGAACTTTTCCATATAAACCATTTACTAGCTCATCACGTGATTTCAATATATGGACTGTGATTAGGACATCAATGCAATGCTTGAAACGACTATAGTTTGATTTGTGAGTTTATAAACAATGTGTGAACGTTTCGAAGGGTGTAATGAAGTCAGATGTTTACTGAAGTAGGCAGATAAATGTAGGAATACAATGGTCATAAGGCAACATTTAACGAGATGAAATTGATGATAAGTCAGCAAAATGCAAGCAAATTCAGTACACTGATGGGAAACAGACGAGAAAGAACTTACACTAACTCATTGTTGATGGTATTTTGTGCAATCCGAATCGGTGGATGAGTTACAAGCTCCATAGTTGCTAGATTACTGTTAGTATACGAGAGATTGTAAAGTTCACTCGACAACTCTTTAGGATAACAATGAGCATCTCATGAAGGCGATTAAAGTTGAGCAGTATCGACAACCTCGGTGAGTTATCTGTTTACCTCAAGGAAAAATTAAATAGGGACATATAGCTAAGGAGATATCAAATACAGCTGCAAAGAGGAAGAGAAAATGAAACTCAGCTTAGAGTCTGATATGATTTAGGCATGTAGAGGGCCTATTATATCTGGGTAGGGCGCAGATGTGTTCATGCACACTAGGTCAGTGCAAGCTAAAGCTTCATCCAGAAGTGTTACAGACGTATGTACTCCATTCATGCTTGTTTCACAGGAAAAACTGATCCACAATGATCCATACTTGATCTGGATGAAGTTTTCGCAATTTTCGGATCTGTAATTTTCAAGTTCGACCGCAGGAACTTTATGTCGGAGCTCGTATATATGTGGGTCTTGGGTAATAATTATATCACAAATTGAGTAAGTAAGATTTTTGAGGAGCTTGAAGCCTTCTTTTTCAGTGGGCTTCAAGTCCTAGAATATGGCATCGAGAACGATACTCATTAAGTAAATCAGTCATATGCATTTTGCGAGGGGATACTCGTTGTACTCAACGACACATCTTACGCATATCTTGTAAAGAATTAATGAAGATTCAATTTGAAAGAATTTACGATGCATGAAGTTAGGCAATTTCCTCATTTCAAGTGTTTTGGTGGAGGTGCTTAGAATAATTTAGACTGGACTATTCACGTTTATCTTAGCTTGGATTTACACAACCCTGTTCACTGGATTTTCATTGTTGTAAACGTTTCTGTCAATCATTGGTATAAACGAGCTGCGACACCACAAGCTAATTATCAACTCTAGGTTAATGGACGGAACTAATAAACTATCTCTTTATGAAACTCAATTTTATGATTTTGGATTATGCTTAGTCATAATTATACATGTGGTTGAGCTGTTTTTCAAAATACCCCGAAAAGGATTATAACGATTACATCCCAAATGGTGAGTGTGTAGGGGCGTTGGGCCCTACCACGAGACAATATGAGAAATAGACATTAAACATTTAACGCGGAGAAATACAGAAGAATGGAGAAGGCGGGGAGAACGAATTGAATTAATTGAAGTTAATCTTGTGGCACGGCTCGACCATTCAGACGTGGTCCCTCCTGCTAAATGTTACGTTATGTCTTTAATTCATATTAAATATATTGTCCTATCCCTAGCCTAGGATTGTTCTCCATCATGTACTGGTAATTGTTACGACGCAGTGAGTTGGTGTAGATGGTGATGTGACTTCCACGTAAGATCTTATAGATTAGGCAGTTACATCATAACACATCTGCAATTTTAGGATTAGGTCTGTTATTAGAGCAGTGCTAATATCATAGTAGACCATAATTTTACAAGTGCACCTTAATACAAAAACCACTCTCGATCGTATTCTTTCGTCACATAAGCACTACCTGACAGCTACCCTAAAATGTTTAAATGCCTTCTCAAAAACCGATCAGGTTAAAGCACATAATCAAATTCTCGTGGCAGCAGACAACATTCCGAAATCGGTTATTATCACTCCCCTCTGTGCTTGTCTTTTGGTTTGAGAAATGCTGCATAAACTTTTCAGAGTTTTGTCAGCGACGTCCTTCGAAGTTTCGACTTCGTACAACCATATATAGATGATTTCTTGATTGCAGGTCCGGACAGAGAACTTCATCTCCAGCGTCTAGATCGTGTTTTTGAACGACTGCGGAAACAATACATTCATGTAGGCATTCAGAAATTTCGAATAGAAACCAAATTCCTGATCTTCCTCCAACATATTATTGATGTTCAACGCACCCACCCTCCGTAAAGCAAAAGGGAGGCCATTCCAGTTTACCGACCACAGTCAAGCAAATACGTATATTTAATGGGCTGGCGAATATTCACTCGAGGATCAAATCAGACTGTCCGTGTCATGAGACCCTTAACAAACCACCTACGTGCAACTGGGAAAATTATCAATTTATACGACAATGAGAGGAATACGTCCTTCACAGATAAGGACGTTATTACAAAACAACCATTAACACTTTCTTCTGAATCATCTTCAGACAAGCACTCCTCTAGAGAGTCTCGACAACTAGACTACATTTCACAGTTCACTTCAGATATGCAACACAGTTGTGGGGCAAACAATGTTGACGTAGACCTCTTGTCTCGTGTAACTTCCTTGAACAGTCTTCAGGGGACTAACTCATCTGAATCCCCTAGCTTCAAAGAGAAGAAACCTGTCTTCAACGTGAGCTATTCTCGACAATCCTGAAATTGTATAAAACAGGTGGGAACAGGTAATGTGACCATGCGACACATCTACGGATAAGGACCGTCCAATCTTGCCAAAACATTTTCGATGCAACGTCTTACATTCGTTGCGCAAATTCATTCGTTCAGGTTTTCGAGGAACCATGGAGCTCATCGCAAAACGATTTCGTTGGTCTAGTATGAATAAACACGTGAGGGAGCGGGCACACTCTTGTGTAAGCTGTCAGAAATCTAAGGTTATCGAACACAAAAAAATGTTCTACAGGCTCTTTCAAATCTCTCGACGCTCACTTTGACCATGTTCATCATGACTGGATATGACCCCTAACAGATTCAAATGGACACTCTTCCCTCTTAACGTGTGTAGACCATTTTACATGATGGCCAGAGGTAGTATCTATCGAGGACATTAATGTCAAAATAGTGACCTACTCTTTCGTCGAACGTTGGATAACCGAATCCGGCTGTTATTCAAATGTCACTCCAGGCTGTGAACTGTTCAAATCTGGATTTGTTTGTTTTCTTACTTCGTTACTAAAAGTCATATGTTTCCGAAAGACCGTCCACCACTTACGAACTAACCGGTTAATAGAGCGGTTTCACGGACGGTTGACAGCTCCACTTTCAGCTGAAAACGTTACACAGTGGACTAACACATTTCCACTCGTGTTTCACTCGATATTCGCGATATAGTGAATGCTGATATTGGAAATACACAGCTTCTGGCATAACATATATGATTGGTCCAATTTTATCATAAATTATGGTCACATAACTGATTTGATCGTTGTTCTGCTAGAAAAGGGCTAGTGTTCATCAAGACACTTGAGTTGAATAATATAAAATGACTGACGTATCAACGTTTCTAAAAGAACTTACTAGTAGCAA